TCGATTGTTCATATTTGTCCCCCAGGGTGACGCAACAGTAGCAGGAGTTGTGTTCTCCTGGTGATTTCCTGAGGATCCTGCATTATCAAAGTTCAGGATCCTTGGTTGTATACATGTGGGCGTCTTTTCCTGGGATCTCTGAAATTCCACCTTCATTCTCTGCACTTCTCTATTGTTCTATTTTCCTCTTGCTACTAGGTCATCTGTTGCGTCATTTTCCTCATCATAGAGAAGAGTTCTGTAATAGTGACCAGAGCAGATGGATCCTGGAGTCCTAAAGATCCCAAACTTCCTTGGTTAGTGACCGGAGAGGTGTTTTTTCTTGGAACTCGATACTAAGATACTCACCACCCCGATCGGATCGGAGCATCTTTACCTTCCTGCCCAACTGATTCTCCACTTCTTGTTTAAACTCTTTGAATTTCTCAAAGGTTTCTGACTTATGTTTGATTAAGTAGACATATCCATATCTACTATAATCATCAGTAAAAGTCACATAGAAGCGGTTAGCATCCCCTGTGGCAGTTCTGAAGGTCCCACACACATCGGTGTGTATGAGATCCAACAAACCTTCACCCCTTTCACAAGTACCAGTGAAGGGTGACTTGGTCATCTTTCCAAGTAAGCAAGATTCGCAAGTGTCATCCGACCTTAAGTCAGATGACTCCAAAACTCCAGCCATTTGGAGTTGAAGCATGCCTTATCCAATTCATTGGAAGAATCAATGTGCAACACAGTATATCCTAAGTTGTCTACAACCATCACAATTTCATATACATCATTACAAGGTAATGCTTTAAAATAAAAAACACCATTATAATAAGCATTAATAGCACCAATTTCATTATCAAATGAAAAACTAAAACCTTGTTTGTACAAACCATGAAAGGAAATAATATTTCTCGCCCTTTCAGACGAGTAGCAACAATTATTCAAATCTATTTCTAACCCACTACTAAGCAATAAAGAGTAACCTCCAATATTGGTGACATGTGAAACCTTCCTATTCCCCATGATCAAGTTTATCTTCCCATGCTCCACATCCTTACTTCTTTTTAGGCCATGCACATCAGAACAAATGTGAAATCCACAACCTGTGTCAAGAACCCAAGAGTTAGAATGTGATGAGTTTTTAGATAGAATAGTATAAATACATGCATGGGTGGGTTTAACCTTCCCATCCTTGACATCCTGCAAGTATTTGGGGCAGCTTCGCTTCCAGTGCCCTTTCTCATGACGACAATGCCACAAGCATGCCTTATCCAATTCATTGGAAGAATCAATGTTCAACATATTATATCCTAAGTTGTCTACAACCATCACAATTTCATATACAGCATTACAAGGTAATGCTTTAAAATAAAAAAAACACCATTATAATAAGCATTAATAGCACCAATTTCATTATCAAATGAAAAACTAAAACCTTGTTTGTACAAACCATGAAAGGAAATAATATTTCTCGCCATTTCAGACGAGTAGCAACAATTATTAAAATCTATTTCTAACCCACTACTAATCAATAAAGAGTAAACTCCAATCTTTGTGACAGGTGAAACCTTCCTATTCCCCATGATCAAGTTTATCTTCCTGTGCTCCACATCCTTACTTCTTTTTAGGCCCTGCACATCAGAACAAATGTGAAATCCACAACCTGTGTCAAGAACCCAAGAATTAGAATGTGGTAAGTTTTTAGATAGAATAGTATAAATACATGCATGGGTGGGTTTAACCTTCCCATCCTTGACATCCTGCAAGTATTTGGGGCAGCTTCGCTTCCAGTGCCCTTTCTCATGACAATAGAAACACTCTACTTCCTTAGGAATGGAAGAGGGAGCAGCAGAACCAGCCTTGGTCCCACTTGAAGAGGATCCATAAAGAGACTTTCCCTTGCGGCTCTTTGAGGGAGCCTTCCTATTCTTCCCTTTCCCTTGTCCAATTGCCAGAACAGGGGCAGTTGCGGTAGGAGTAGAAACAACATTTTTACCTTTGAGACCAATTTCGGCAATCCTCAAAAGCCCTTGAAGTTTGCTAAGTGTGACCTCCTCCTTGTTCATATGATAGGTCATGCGGAACTGATCATAACATGGAGGTAAGGAGTGTAGAATGATATCTATAGCCAGCTCCTCAGGGAAGTCCACATTTAGCTTTAGGAACCGGTCCACAAACCTTTGCATTTTCTGCAAGTGGCCGGTGATGGGTTCACCATCCTTCATTCTTGTTGTTATCATGGAAGAGATGATTTCATACCTCTCTTGACGAGCACTCTGATGGTATCTTTCCATCAGGTCCCGGTGCATCTCAAAAGGGTAGAAGTCCTCATAGGACTTTTGGAGTTCAGATGTCATGGTGGCCAACATGATACAAGACACCTTGGTGGCATCCTTCTCATGAGTCCTAAACTCAGTGATCTCCTCAGGAGTTGCAGAAGACTCATCGATTTCCTTAAGCTCCTTGTCGAGGACATATTCATTGTCCTCATAGCGAGTGACCATCCTGATGTTCCTAATCCAGTATATGTCTAGTTTTATATAATTGTCAAGTAACATTTCTTATATACATGTTTTGTATTGAAAAAACATAATTATAGTATAAAAGAATAATTTATAAATAGATCCAATCATAAAGAAATATGAAAATCATATTAGTTGAAAAATATGTTCAATAATGAATGTAAAAAAATCAAATACGATATCCGTAACAACTAAAAAAACTTAACGTAAAATAACTCACTTATGCTAGTGAGTCACCCGTAATCATTTATACATAACAAATATTTCCAGCTCCAGTTTTATAAAAATGAGTCACCCGTAATCATTTATACATAACAAATATTTCCAGCTCCAATTTTAAAAAATGATCGAACACTTTGTTCATTATGACAATCTCTTTAACAAACAAAACTATATTCAATTTCACACAACCACCAAAAAATCGAATTAATATGAAGTTAGCAAACAAAACGAGTTAAATTTGGCACAACAAAAAACAACATGAATCAAACTAAAATGAGATTCAATAAACCGATTAATACCTTAAATTGGATGTTTGTTGACAAACTAGTTGTGAGACCCATCTATTACATGGGTTAATTAAAAAAAAGCTAAATATAAATGTCAAAATATTTAAGAACTTTGAATTTATAAGAAAATAAAAAAATAATGAATTATTATAATGAAAATGTTTTTTTATCTTTTAAATTCAAACAAATAATTTATATAAATAAAAGAAAGTAACGAGCTTTAATTTTGGAAATTTTGAAATTAAAAGGTAAGTTTATTAATGAAATTGATATCCATTTATTACTACATTTATTGCAATTATTACATTAAAATATTATGTGAAATTTAATAAAATAGAAAACTCATAAAATTACATGTGGAAAAAAAATTCAAAATAACCATAAAATGATATTTGGCAAATTGAATGAGAATGTGACAAGTGGCAAAAAAAATCTTCATTTATCAGAGAAGATAAGAAAAATAATGAATTATTATAATGAAAATGTTTTTTTTATCTTTTAAATTTAAACAAATAATTTATATAAATAAAAGAAAGTAACGAGCTTTAATTTTGAGAATTTTGAAATTAAAAGGTAAGTTTATTAATGAAATTGATATCCATTTATTACTATATTTATTGCAATTATTACATTAAAATATTACGTGAAATTTAATAAAATAGAAAACTCATAAAATGAAATGTGGGAAAAAAATTCAAAATAACCACAAAATTATATTTGGCAAATTGAATGACAGTGTGACAAGTGACAAAAAAAACTTTCATTTATTAGAAAGGATGCGATTAAGAATAAACAATAAAAAATTTGAGATTTTGTTAAGGTGGGGCGTAAGATTAGAGGTATGTAGGGCATGAATCAAACACAAGAAGAGTTGGGTCGATTCTTTAAAATGATCGTGTGAGAAATCCAAAGACATGGCGTAATGAAAATTTGGGACCAAAGACGGAACCAAAATTTTAGATAAAAAATGGATTACATCATAATAAGTAAGTTGTACATTATTACTATTTAATAATATTGTCCACCCCTTTTATTTTTTTTAAGTAATAAGTACGCTGTACATTATTACTATTTAATAATATTGTCCATCTCTTTTACTTCTTTTCTTTGGTTTACCTCACTGGGCATACATTCTATAGGGCGAGAAGGGTTGTGCCCCCTCCCCCTCCCATTTTTCTAAAGACTAATTCAATTTATTAAAATTGGGCATTTTAAAAGTCACATCTCCTATCCTAATAAATAAGACCTTAATTGACACGTGGCATTCTCTAAGCACCTCCCAATCAATTCTTCCCGCTCAAAATTTTGAAGTGAAATACCAATACTGCCCTTATCCTTAGGCTACAATAAAATCCATGGTTCGCTTCATCTTCACATTCTTCTTAATTCATTTTACCGCTCGCCGATGTTTCTTCTTCTCCATAAAATCAAAATCAAAATTCAAACTCTCCCAAATTCTCGGTCGCAATTTACGCATCAAAAATCCCTAAACGGTTTCCTTTTCAACTGTGTTCTTCTCTATTTATCTCTCTTAAACCCTAATCTGCTTCATCTTATCGATTTATCTCTCTTAAATCCCTAATCCTCTTCATCCATTTAAACTGGAATGCTCATATTAAATGCCTTTAATTTAGGAACCGATTGTTTTAGGAAATGATTGTTTTTCCAAATGAATTCAGCAGGTTACGTTTTCCCCTAATCTTCAATATCAATCATTTTCTTCTTCTCTATTTCTCCTGCTTCCAACGACATTAACCATCGATTCTTTGCAACCGTCATTTTGAAGGTTTTATCGTAAATGGTGAAACCTCCACTGACTGATAAGTTTTGGTAAGTTTGTATAAGAGTGTTTTTTAATCGCCTTTTTGTTCGATTTTAGGGCGTTGATTGTCACTTTATCAAAATTAACAAGCTTATTTTCTTTAATTTACTCTTTATCAAAATTTTCAAATCTTCTTGAGTGATTTTGGATTCCGAGATGATTTATTTGAATTTGATAAGTATACTCCATCACCACCACTGCACCTCCATTGTTATGGCAGTATATGATGATGAAAATGACCAAAAAGGTGAGTGGATTGCAAGACATGGGTTTGTATCCATAATATGTTGATTGTTATCTCCTTCTCTAAGTTTCAGATCGATTTTCTATCAATAGACATTGGGTGTGTACAATTTTTAATTTGTTGATTGCTTCTTGACGTATTCCAAAAAGGTGAATAGATTGCAAGACATGGCTTATAAATTTGATTAGCCTTATGATGGATATTTCGTTTTCTATTCATCTCGCTCCACCAACGCTTCCCCTTCTTTCGACAGCTCTCCAATCATTTTCCCCTCTTTTTATCTCGAGGATCCAAGCAGGCATGTTTCTTTATTGATTGAACTGTTTATATTGATCGATTCTCATTTCTCAATGTTGTTAAATCTTTTGAGAGTTTTGTTTTAATATGATCAGGAGATTATGATTCTTCCATTTGGGTCACAGGGATTTGAGGAGGCAATGCAAATGGGATCTGAAACATATCATCATTTGAAGGTGAGTTGCTCATCATACCAATCCATTATTTCCTTCTCATTCTATCTTCTTTTTGAAAAATTGTTTATCTATTGAATTCAATGCAGGCTGTTATTGCAGGGAAATATGGTGCACATGGATGTAATGTTGGTGAAGATGGTGGCCTTGCTCTTGATATCACCAGGCATGTCTAATGTCTTCTGATTAATATTTTGTGATCTTTTTACCTCAACTCTTGATATCACTAGGCATGTCTAATGTCTTATAAAGTTTTGGTCCCTGCTCCAAGTAAGAATGACTACTATTTGTCCCAAAAATAGTCATTTTACTTAGAATAGGGACCATAAGTATTATGAAAACCTCAATATGCACCAAATTTGCAAGAAGAAACTTTTCAAAACAAAATTTGAAAGAAAAAAATTCAGCTATACTCGGTGACAAGTTACAGTGAGGAAGAATGTAATTGAATTCCTCCCACTTGGCCTTAGGAATGGTGAAATACATCAAACACGAATTTGATGAAAATGAATTGTTTCCATTTGGCAACCAAACACACCCTTGAGTGGAATCTTGAATTCCAATTCTGTTGGAATCCACGAACCAAACACGCCCTAAATCTCTTACATGACTATTATTTTATATGTAGGTTGTTGGAGATGACTTGTTGATGTCAAATTCTAAACATGTCGAAAGAGCCATCGAAGAACATGCTTGCAATGCCCTTCTTCTCAAGGTAAAGAATAAATAAAATAAAATAAAACCGGATAGAGTATTAGTCAAATATCAAAAAAGTAAAAGCACATATCAACAAGGACAAAATGGAGAAATGTTGTATACAAAAATGAATGTTAAGAATAATTTGTAAACAAACACATGCAGGTGAACCAAATTGGGAGTGTGACAGAAGCCATTGAAGTAGTGAAGATGGAAAAAGATGGTAATTGGGGTGTGGTAATATCACAAAGAAGTGGAGAAACTGATGATTCTTTTTTAGCCGATTTATCAGTGGGTCTTGGCACGAGTCAGATAAAAGCAGGCGCATCTTGTAGAGGAGAGCGCTTAGCCAAGTACAATCAGGTTTGAATTTTTTTTTTGTCATTCTGTCCAAATTAACACTCATGTAGTCACGTATAGCTGTCAAGATTAAGTGCTTCACACATTGAGTAAAAAAGAAACAAGCACTTAGTCTAGAGTCCAGAGTCCTGATTATTAGGAGGATATGTGGGGTTTAATAATAATGTCAAGTTTTGTGCAGTTAATTAGAATTGAAGAAGAGATCGGGGATCAAGCAAGAATTCAAATGATTAAACATATAAAAGTAATATATTTCTTTTAATGTTCTATTGATATTTAACATGTTATTAGATTCAAATGATTAAACATATAAAGTGGCAGGGAAGAAGGGCAAGAAGGAAAGCAGTTCACCAAAAGAGAAAGAAAAGTAGTCTTCCTATTGTTTTGTAATTAGGTTGTCGTGGATTACTGACTTTTTGTGTCTTTGAATACGGTTAGCAACTTCTGATTCATTTTCATTGTTGATAGGAACAACGTTTACAGGGCAGATAGTAGTTAGTTTTCAATACATGAAGTGGCTGCTACAAGTTATGGTTATTGTCATCGATGAAAAAAGTGATATATTATTATCATTCTCTGGTTTATATATGCATGGTATCTGATCCAATATTGTCTTTATTCCCTTTATGTAGACATAGATGATGATTTTTTGTTTATATAAACTAAATATATTACATCAGGATTCAAGTAAGTTGTGTTTGCAAGAAGGTAATGAGGGCACTGTGAGTATTGGGATTAGAAGCTTACTTAGATGGGGAAGGGACCTATTTACAAATTTTATTAACATTTTTGCATTTGATTTTCTCAGTAACCATAAATCTTCCATGGCTTCAGAAAAGTGTAATTATGGATTTTTTTTGTTGCAAAACTCTCATTCTTTAAATTGGTTTTCTTATCTGTAAATTGATGTTTCTTTGTTGCCTTTATTTCTATGTCAGAAAAAGGAGTCTTTTTTATTGTTGGATAAAATTACATACAAGTTAAACAATTGTCAAAGAAAGGGTATAAAGGCGGATCCATACAAGTGCAGATGAATCAAACTAGGGTGCTTTGATAAACAAATAAATGCTATAAAATCAACAAAATTATACTTACATTTTTCTTCAGGTTACAATATTACACTATAAAAAGTACAATGTGGTAATAAAAAGAAATCAAACTGAGCACTTTAATAAAGAAATAAATAGATATGGTGAAATGTCATTGTTATTTGTTAAATTTTTTTAAAAAAAGTTCATATACGTCGAGCATTAAATTGTATTGCAATTTATTTCTTATAGAATCATTCCTTCTTTTCTTTTAATTATAGCAAGAAGGGTAAATGACACAAAAGACATTAAGTTTACACTAAAATTCTAATTTAATATTGTGGTTTTTTTTTGTCTCAAATTTTACACTGTTTTCTAATTTTTTACAATTCAGACCACTTGACCGGTCAACCTGGTTATATGTTGACGTGACATGTGATGTTTCAGTTTTTGATGACGTGACATGCTAACATGACATGCTGACGTGTTAAAATTGAATTTTCCCACAAAAGACATTAAGTTTTCATTTTTTTTTTCGATTTTGACACTAAATTTAATTTTTTCTTTCAGTTTTGACACTATTTTTTTTTATTTCAAACAGAACATCATTTATCCAATTTTGTTCAATATTGACCATTTACATTTGAAGCCGTATAAATATATTTTTTATTACATTTTAAACCGTATAAATATATTTTTTTCGTTTAAAAACCACATTCTTATTTAAATACAAGTTTTTTTTTTTTTTTTTTTTTTTTTTATTTTTTTTTTTTAATATGCATTAGTTATATCATGAGAACAAAATTAACCATAAGCTTCGAATAAGATGTAAATTTTTCACGGGTTGCAAACTTGACATCTGGGTCTTGATCGATTACACGCTTTCAAGCCTCCAAACTCATTTTAAAGTTGTGTATTTAATATAAAATACTGTTTTTATTTAATTAATACATACTTATACATCCAATGTTGTGTCATAAGAACTTTTCGGAAATTTATGATTTTTAATTATCTTTTTTGTTATTTTATATAATATTGCTTTATTATTTTAAACTATCTATTTATTTTTCATTTCAATCATATTCTATTGAAATTTATATTTTATTGTACAAAATCATGATATTATCATATATCTACACATACAAAATGTTGATCAATATTCATAACAGTGTATATGTTAATTTAAGTAATCATTATAACTTACATACAAAACTTATATAGTTGTAAATTAATGATATCCATAAGCCATTTAAAAAACAAACAATATTTATAATATTGTCAGGTTAAATTATGAATTCGAATTCGATTCAAAATTGGAACCGAAAAAAAAAGGAATACAAATACCATATGAGGATTATGTGTACAGCAAATCCTTATTCATACTTTCTTTTTTCAGATAGAGATTTAAGGTTATGTCTCTTATAGTATTTATAAAATGTTAACTATTAAATACAAATAAAACCACAAAGAGAATAAAATTTGATAGATATAAAGAAAATTACATACCTATTTATGCCAATAATCAATTAAATGATTACCAAAAATATTAGGCACACAAGAAATCACCTAATCAATTAGTAGTTTTACCAAGAATGTTAAAACACAAACAAAATAAAAAATGATGAACAACTGAACATCAATGCTTTAATTGGATTTATAAATAATGAAATTTGCAAGCATAAAAATTATATAAAATATGAAATAAAAAACGAAGATAAGATGGAAAGCAAGAAACACAAATTTTGGGCCGGTCGATCCTTCATTATTTTGTCTTAGTTGGGCCTTTACATATATAAAAGTGATATATGGAAATATATATATTTTTTTCTCTTTCAACCCATTTATGTAACATCCAGCAAATTCAGAATAAAATTTTCATTTTTAATAATGATACATTCAAATAAATCATTTGTTCAAAAATCATAATTCATAAATCAAAGTTATAATGAAGATAACATAGAATCTCTAATCATAAAATTGTTGATGTGTGTGTATAGTCCTGCCTTCGCAAACCAAATGAGTACATGCAAAAATATTTAATCCACAACTGTAAGCACAAAACTTAGTGAGTTCCCCAAATATCTCATACAATACAACATATAACAACAACTATGAGTCTTTAGCAACCCTGGGGACTATCAGCAATCTCAGTGGCTAACAACATGTCGTATGGATTAACAACATACCTCACGGGTTATTAGCAACCCTTCGGACTATCAGTAGTCCCGTGGTATGAAGACCATGGCGCTTTTGTAGGTGTCATATATAATCGATATGTCGAGAAAAGGGAGTTGTCCAACAAGTCCCCCAAGTCTGAAGTAGGAGCAAGTCGACGTCTGGTCTTGCTTCAGACTTATATTATGCTGAATTATAACACAAAAATCGTATGAACCAAAATGATCCATATTTAGGTCACCCATGATATGAAGACCATGGTGGGTTTTTAGGTCAAACCATGGCTTCGGCCGATGGTGACTCACTATGCCAAACTGTGGTGATTAGCCATGGTGGCTTTATAGGTCGAACCATGGCATCGGCCGATGGTGACACTTAATGATGCCGAAACATGGTGGTCTTATTATGTCGAACCGTGGCACTGAGCTGATGGTGACTCTCTATGCTAATTTTGACTTTATATCACCGGAAAGCTCTCGACGAGATCTACAACTTTCGTTTAGACTCCTTGGCTAATTTTGACTTTATTTTTAAAGCTATATTTTAAATAGGATTAGACTGGTAAAGTCTGTTAAACATTAATAACTTTCTCATATGATATCCGTTCTTGACTGTCTTTATATCGACGTTACCATATGGACGAGATCTTCAACTCTCGTTTAGATTGTTTTTCGTAACAATCAACCGATCTCTACTTCGGTTTCTGAGCCGTATACTACTGCTTTGAAACTTTTAAAATCATAACTTCCTTTGATGAAGTCAGATTTGGACGTTCTCTATATGCACGCTCTTGGTTTAACGACTACTACCACTATCATTTAGATTATTTTCCCTAAATAATCCTTCTTTGATAATGTCTAATTATTGTTGTGACTATTAATTATCCTATTATTCCTTAATCATCTAGCCCTACCTTGCGGGCGTTGCAATTATCTCCCCCTTATGATGATTATTTTCGGGAATTATCAAGAAAATAGGGCTTGTATAGTAACTCCACATGTTAACTTTCCATCCTAGGTGGTAATCGTAACATCTAATGTTTCTTTTCTATTGAGTTTATAACTCTTAGACTTATTGACCGTTGACGTTGTTGCATCTATTATTCCTTCTAAATTTGATCTTCATTGGAAACTCCTACTCTTTCTTAACCTAAATTAAGGTCCTTACTCTCACCATTGTAACAGATCGATGGTTCATGTCCTAAATGATCTCTCACCGATGATACAATGGTTAGACTCAGGTCTTTTTGAGTTAGACTCTTAACACGAAGGATATCTTCCTTCATGTTCTAACATGATACAATCACATTCTAGCATGTAGCACTTCTAGCTACAGGATACGGTGACTGCGATACTTCTATCGATCGCTTTGACTATCTTTTCCTTCAATCTAAAGTCGGACTCTATGACGAAATTACTTCATAGATTAGTCAGATTCGATTGCTTTGACTACTAGGTTTTGGAATAGAAATCATCACCGAAACAAAGGTAATGATGGAAATGAACAAGACTGAATGCAATCACTAGTGCCTAAGTAACCTTGTGACTCCTCCTGATCCAAGTACGAGTCATGTGCTTCCGGTAGTACGGGCCCATACTATCTTCCACACCTACTCATACTCGTCCCAAAAGTTGTCTCACGGTTTTCCTAAGTTACTATTTCCTACGATCACAAATTCAGTTTAACACATATAGATGTGTCCAAGTAATCATATACAAAAAATTTCCTAGACTCTACTACGATTTCTTCCAATCGTATCCTTAACCGCATTTTCACTTTCCAACCATTGGTATAAATTCTTTCTCGTGTAGTGTCCTACTTTACAAGGCACATTATACTAAAATTTATTCTTAACCAACCCATTATGTTGAAATCATAATTTCTTAATGCTACAAAACGATGTAATATGACTAGAAATTTTTATAACTTTCGAAATAATTACAACATTTATTCATACAATATGCCTCTCTATATTAGGCTTCTCATCCTACTACTATCTATATACGATGACTACTCCATATCTTGAATTTGGGTAGGTAGCTTCCTACCCCTAACTTCCTGAAGTGTCATGTGCTTATTCCTTTACTATCTTCAGATACTTTTGCGATGCTTGTGTCGCTCCTTTCTTATTCGGGCAATCCTCCCTGAAATGGCCGAATTCTCCACACTTGAAACATGCCATGACTG